CGCATCCCTTGGCACGTAGTCCTGGACCTTAGAACATATCAGATTGCAACACATGACCAAGATCAGCTCTTTGCATTGGAAGTCTAACAAATTTCCGGAAGACCAAAGAGCATCTTTCATGGAGTTGATGGTCCTCCAGGGGCAGTTGATATTTGTTCTCTGGGACACACATGAAGACATCTCTTAGAGCATAGAGTCCTGTGTCACAGAACTGATTGGGCCTCACCTCAAGAAAAAACACTGCATCTCTCACGTGGCCAATGCACAATGGCATCCAGATCCTTTACTGATCTACCCCCATCATTTAAACAATACTCTGCCAGTCCATTTTCCCTTCTGAAATGAACAATTTTATATTTATACTCTGCCATGTATTTGCCCACTCACTAAACATGCTTAATTGCCCTGAACCCTCTTCATGTCCTCTTTACCACTCACACTTGCAACTAATTTAAGTTGTCAGTAAACATAGAAGTATTGATTGATTCCCTCATCCAAATCATTGATAGATATTCTGAATAGCTGAGGCCCAAGGACTGGTCCTTGTGGTACCCCAATTGTCACTATCTTTCACTTTAAAAATGACTCATTTATTCTTACTGCTGATTTTCTGACTGCTAATTATTTCTCAATCCATGCCAGTACATTGCCAACAATTCCATGTGCTTTAACTCTGCATAATAACATTTTATATGGGACTCTGTTAAAACCTTTCTGAAAATCCAAATACACCATGTCTATTGGTTCTCCCTTATCCGTTCGACTAGTCACATCCTCAAAGACTCCAGTAATTTTGTGCAATACAATTTCCCTTTCAGAAATCCATATGTATAACTTGAAAAATTAATCAGGGAGAGAGCTACCAGTTCCAGAGTTAGATTATTATGTCACTCTCATGGAGACTAAGGAATGGGGAGTTAAAATGGCAGAACTACAACCTGAAGATTCCCCACCAAGCCATACACTATCCTGACTTGGAACTATAATCAGTATCCCTTGAAAATCCTTGGGTCAAAATCACGGAACTCCCACAGCAGCATTTTGCGTGTCCCTAAACCTCAAAGCACGCACTGGTTCAAGAGGCAGCTCATCACCACCTTCTTCGGGGCAATTAGGGATCTATGTGGGTCTGGCCTGCATTTGGGCATTGACTGTTTCAGTATTTAAGGAGATGAAAATGCTGCTGAACATTATGCAATAAGCAATGAACATCCCTACTTCTGACTTTATGAAAAAAAAAGATATTGATGAAGCAGGTTGGGCCTGGGATACAACAAAGAGGAACTCCTGCAGAGATGCCCTGGAGCTGAGATGACTACTTCTAACATTCACAACCATCTTGTTTTGGCTCAGGTATGACTCCAACTGGTGGAAAGTCTTTCCTGACTTTCATTGACTCCAATTCTACTAGAGCTGCTTCGTACCACATTTAGTTAAATGCAGTCTTGATGTCAAAAGCAGTCACTCTTGCCTCACATCTGGAATTCAACTCTTTTGTCCATGTTGAATCAAGGCTATAATGATGACAGGAGCAGGAGATGTCAGTGGCCCAAACTGGGTGTCAAACAGCAGATTATTGCGAAACAAATGCTGCTTGAAGCAATGCTAATGATACCTTCCATCATGCAAGTTTCAGCCAAGTTCTCCAGAAGCCCTGGAGACAGAGGACTTTTCCATCTTCTCACCCATACCTACATTGTAATCCATTTCTAAATACAAGCACATGAATGAGGAGTAAAAGTAAGCTAGTCAGCCCCTCAAGACTGCTCAATGATTAGATAAGATCAGTGTGCTTTTTTGAATTCCACATTCTAATCCACACCTGATAATCTTTAGTTCCCTCACCAAACAAGAATCTACTTTTGTGCCTAAAAAATATTTGATGACCCTGCTTTCACTACTTTTTGAGGAAATATTCCAAAGTCACACAATCTTCTGGAGAGAAAAATATTCTCAAGTATTCCTTAAAAAGCTGACCCCTAATTTTAAAAGCAATGCCTGCTCATTCTGCACTCAACCATAAGAGAAAATATACTTTCCACATCCACCTTGTCAAGACTATTCAGTTTATGAGAGTTGTGTGTGTAACTGCCATACTGATTGGCATTGGGAGTGCATCAAGAGGTGGTTTCCAAGAATACTCCCGGGTTGAAGGGCTTGTCATTATGAGGAACGGCTGAGACACTGGGTCTGTATTCGATGGAACTTACAAGGGTTGGGGGGCGCGGGGGGGGGGAGGATCTAATTGAAACCTACAGGATCATGAGAGGCCTGGATACAGTAGACATGGAGAGGATGTTTCCACTAGTAGAGGAAACTGGGATCTGGGGGCACAGCCTCAGGGTGAAGGGACAACTCTTTAGAACTGAGATAGGGAGGGATTTCTTTAGCCAGAGGAATGGTGACTCAGTGGCTCATATTCACCTCAATCATCACAAAACAGACTATCTAGTCAGTTTCAAATGTATTTGTGAGAGTTGTGTATGTAACGGACAGCCATAATCTGCATTATAAATGACTCTATTTCAAAAGTGCTTAATGGCTCTAAAGTACTTAGAGATGCCAGATGATTATGCAAAGCACCATACTTCTTTATTTCTGTTAAAATTCTTTCCTATTCGATGATCATCCAACCTCTGGTGTGTTTTCTCTATTGCAAACAGCCGTACCTTCAACAATAAGTGCAAAAAGCTCATGATTTGTTTGTGACTGATTTTGAAACCATCTGACTAGGTGTCCCTACAACCTCCATCCCTTATTGACTCACTAAGTTAAACCTCTTTAAGGGTGTCCCTGAACTGACCAAAAACTGGTATATTTCTCTATTTGCCCTCATATCATTTTTTTCAGGTTCATCTTGACACCCAGTTTCTTCCCTTAGATCTTTTTTCTTACTAAACTGCTGAGCACCAAATCTCCCTACCCGATTTCCACATTATTTAATGTTAACAGTTATCTCGCCAGATACCATCTTCTGTCCTTTAGTACTGCCATCATTGTAATTCTCCTCAAAATAAAAACTTCTGACCATTCATTGAATCATTTTATCTGCACTCAACACTCTCATCAGCCATATACATTCCAAATCCTACCTAGTCATCAAGTTCATCCTGCTATTGTTTCTGGTTCTTTTGCCAATCACCTTAAATCCATCTCCCATGTTCTCTTCTTCCCTACTGAACTTTGATGGAAGGTCTGCAGTAATGTGGCTTTCTCCAGAAGGAGGAAAACCAATGGGTGATATGGGCTTGAAAATGAAAAGGAAAGAAATAACAGGTTGCTCTTTTACACATTTCAGCTGATAACAGAATGACGTCAGGGGCTAGTAACCAGTAATTTTTTTTTTTAAATTGTGAAATACAGTCATCTAGAATGCAATCTAAAGAAGTTGGAAAAAAAACAAAAAAAATCTTTAAAAATTGAAATACAACAGTTACACTTAGCAGTAGGTTAAAGTCAGGTATAATTGGTTATCCACAAGATTTCCACTCTCAACTCATCCACTTAACACACATGCAGCTTACAAGAAGTCTCTGGACTACAATAAAGAAAAGAAATCATGTGATCATGAGACAGACTTTTTTTACTCAAGCATTATGGGGATAAACCAGGAGAGTGGAGTTGGGGAACATCAGATCAGCAAAGCAGACACAACAAGCCGAATGGCTGACTTCAGTACAATGTCTTATGGTCTTATATTTTTTTCATTATCACCTGATGGCATTGGCATCTTAACTGAAACCAGCTCAGTATCAGCAGTAGCCAAATAACAGTTAATTGGAAAACTTTGGGGGCATGTGGTGGTAGTCGAAGTAGGCGAACAACTGGCAGCTGCCACTTAAGGTATGTAAATTCAAATTTGTGCAGTGAGACATGCATTAAGGAGTTAAAAGACACTGACAGAAAAATCAGGAAAGGGATCTTCAAGTCATAGCAGATAAATCTTCAAGACATACGGCAATGTCGGAGTGCTGTGAAGAAAGCATTTGGGATGTTGTATTAAAAAAAAGTAAATCGAGAGATGTCATCCTTATACTGTAGAGAGCTGTGTATCTTTTTGGAGCTCTCGTTAGAAGGATAGGGACTAAATTGAGGAGAGCCTAAAGAAAACTTGCTGGGATGAGAAAACTAGGTAATAAAACATGAGAACAGACTAAGAATTGGATTTGTCACTGCAGTTTGAATGAGGAGGTATTTGGGGGGATTCAAATTAACAAGGCTTAGAGATGTATTGGATCAGTCAGGGTTTAAAGAGTTTATGATCTTAAATATTCTCTCAAAATCAGCACTACTACATTCACTCCAATTTTACAACTACCAAGGAAACTTACTAACATGACGTCAGAAACAAATTGTAAACTGCTTTATTTCACAACAAGCTAATGTTCAGGGCAACAGTTATTACTGAACTAACCATGTCTCATCGATACAATTTAACTTAGATTATTACTATTTTCCTACAATCTTGACCTTTCAAACCTGTCAAAAACTTGCCCCACCAACTTTTTATTTAAAAATCTGTGTTTTGTTCCCATTTTTGTCTTTGTGGTCCAATCCAGAGAGGAGGTAACTACTGCAAAACACCAAGGATGTTCTAAGTGTGAAGTATTTAGTTATTACTGACTCACACTGATAAACAGGGTGCAGGGCTGGATGAACACAGCAGGCCTAGCAGCATCATAGGAGCACACTGAAACAGTTTGTTTTCTGTCTTGGGGGAAATTTTGAAACCTAGACTATCTGCATTTTAACTAACCTTTATGCCAGCAATTTCTTGTAAAATTGTACAAATGCACTTTGCTTTTGAAACCTCAACTTCCGATAAATTTTGCTGGGAAATGGTGAAAAACATTCCAATATAGGAATGTTTAATTTGATACAGAACAGCAAAAGGAGGAGACATCAGTACAAAATAAAAAGCAAAGAACTGTGGGTGCTGGAACATCTGAAACAAAAACAGAAATTGCTGGAGATTGTCAGCAGGTCTGGCAACATCTGGCAATAAGAAGGTCACTGGACCCAAAACCCTGCTTTCTCTCCACAGATGCTGACAGATCCGATAAGTTTTTCCAGGAATCTGTACAAGCTGATCAAGAGTAGATTCAAACAAAAGCAAGAAAATATTACTTCAGGGTACAAACAGAAAATGTTGGAGATACTCAGGTCTGGCAGCACCAGTGGAGAGAAAAACACCTACCATTTCAAGCTGAAAATGACTCTTTGAGGAAGACCCTTGCCATAAAATGTAGCTATTTTTTTCCTCCAAAAATGATGCCAAATCTGCTAAATATTTCCAGCACGTTGCTTTTATTTCAGATTTCTGACAGTCATAACATTTTGCTTTTATTACTTCAAAGGAGTTATCATAACAAAATATCAATTGGTTGATATAGCAAGGATCCTGTATCTCCGCAATACCATAAGGACAAAGATCTTGAAGAAACAAATCCTCAATTGTAATTTCCAAAATAGCAGGAAAGAGACAGAATGGGTGTATTTATTGTACCTTGAAAGCTTACATTTTTACCTCAGCACTCTCCTGGTTCACACGGCTCAAAATATAGCAGCAGTCTCTACATCCACTATACCAAAGCAGAAGTACCTCCACCTGGCCCCCACCATCCTTTTCATAAATATATTCTAAGCATAACTTATGCTTTTTCAACATCTGGTTGCCAAGCATTACCTACCTAAACGCTAACAGTACTTTTTGGATTGGCTGGGCGGAAGTGGCAAGGTGTGTGCAATGGATAGTCACATTTACTACATGGGAAAATATTTATTTTGTTAGATCCACATTGAATACAAATGATAACAGAAACTGCAACATTTTTAGAATGAGCAGGAAAAGATTAAACAAATTTAGAAACTGATATCAGTATTATAAGAACTACTATAAATGTTGGATCAATAAATTTTGGCCTAGCAAGCAATGCCCACATCCTTTGAGTGAAATTAAAAAGGCTGAACTATTGTGCTAAAAATGATTATTTATTATAATCAGTTTATCCAAGAGGAAAAACATTGTTTTTAAACTTGAGAAACCTGTTCTCTTTTTATCCCTAGAAGGAATACTGATGCAGCACTCATGTCCAGAGTACTCTTCTGTTGATCTTTTGGCTGCAGCTTTTAATTCCTAATGTTATGTACATATGACGTACATTTTGCATGGATAACTCATGAGCAAATGGGGAGGTGAAGTATAATAACCCCATGATTTGGAATTGAATCCTGTCATTTTCAAATTATGCTCCATTTATTCCAGTTTGGGTAACAATTAAATTCTAAAAAGCTAGACGCAAATTTTAAAATACAACAAGAAACATACAACTTTCAGAAAAAAAATACTGACAATATATTTGATCCAATTGCATCACTTGTTGGAAATATAAAAATTGAAATCAAGAGGGAAAATATAAATATTTCATTTGCATGAATTTTTTTTTAATCTAATGTCAAAATCAATTAATTAATTGCACTTTTTTTTCCACTGCCTCAAAATTAAGATATTCCAAAGATCCCCAAGATTCCTTTTGATCCCTTTTATTTGTCATCATGTCAAACTTGACTCACTAAAGAAAACCAAAATGAGTGGAAAAAACTACACAGCAAAATATAGACTGGTAATTCAAAGAGCAAAATGTTTACCAAATTAAATTTAACACTAAGAATGTACAACCAGTAAAGAGGTGCATAAATGTGTAATGAATAAAATTGGCAATGTAAGACTTAAAAATACAACTGTAAAGTGTTTCACTTTAAACATCCTAACAATGGAGAAAAATAAATGAAATGCTTTATCCAGAACAATAGAGGTTAGCACATATGCAAGATATTTGCAGAATAGTAATCAAAATTGAAGTGGAACTTTGCTTCTCTCGAACCAGAAAACAGGAATCATAGGTAGGCTGAACTAAACAGTGTGCAATATCATAACATTTTATTAGACACTACATGGAGTATGACTCCAGTTTTTCCTCAATTAAACCTTAGCTCATGCATGGACGATCCATTATCTCTTTGACACTTCATACTATAAATTGAAGTAGAGCTTATTTAAGTGCTTGAATGTAAACATTCTGCCCATACCTAATTTACGTGAAATTTATTTACCAAAAGCAGAGCTCCATGCATATATAAATTAACACCACAGAGCTCTTCCCAGACAATCTGCAGAAATAGTGTTGTATTAAAAATTATAAATTGCAGCCTTGAATCTACTATGCAGAGATGCACTTGCATTATAAAAGATGCTATTACATTTTATTTTGACAGTGACTACCGGACCTTGTTATTCGGCACAAAATATGGTACTGACTATAATTGTTCTATTAGCAAACCTTATCTCGTGAAAACAACCCTCCTTCTTTTCCAACATTATAGGATAAATGCTACAATTAGGGGTTGTAGCAAAGGCCAGTTTGAAACATTCATGAACACAGCTTACCCTACTGCAAATCCACAAAGTCCGTCAACCCTGTTGTGAAACTATGATCAAAAGGATACTCTACTGCATGCATATTGGTAAAAGGATAGAAGTTTCACTTGTCTAGTACAAGGTTAAGAGGAGTAACCTTATCACATAAACGTAAATTTTTTAAAGATGAGAAATCAGTAACAAAGAACATAAAAAATGAAGAAGTTTAGAACTGATTGAGGCAAAATTATTTACTCAGCAAATAATGAATTAATAGACTGGGCAAGTAAGCTTCAATGGCAGAGCAGAGCTAATTCAACCCTAATTTTTCTTGCATTATTATTTCCCTACATAAAATAATTTACCTAAATACTGTTGTTAGAAGGGGCCTACCTGTGTGTAAAGTTCGCTGTATCATGCCATTCATGGTTGCTGTTTATCATACAAGGTTATTCTTGGTATGCTGCTTAACCAGTTGAGAAATCAACACGGAAGAACTATTTGACTAGAACCACAACTGTTCTATTCCATTATCATATGTTGGCTAGCGATCATCTTCACCTCTTTCTTAACATTGGTATAAAACCAAGGACGTTTTTCCTTCCCCTCTTGAGAGCAGTTTATTTGATATGACTGGGGTGGGTGTACAAATAGTGAGTAAAATTTAAGCAGGCATTTTTATAATTATTTCCATTTACCAGGAGAAAAACAGGCGAGACTCATTTCAGTTGAGCTCCCATTAGGGAATTAAATGTATTCAATCTACTATTCAAAAAATAAACAGCCCAAAATTTTTAAAAAATTCAAAGGAGAAGTGAAAACAAAAAAATTCAAGAGTTTTCTTAGACTAATTTTCAGGGCTGTCATTCATAAAATGTAAAATTGACCTACTGTATGCAATTTACAAAGAATGTTTTGTTAAATAAACGTTTGTTTTTATACTTTCACAAAGAATATAACCATAATTTACTTTACTAAGTTATTGTTGTGTAGAATTTTTGCTTCATCAAATTACTCCTACTTATGCTTAGGTGGTTACAGAAACAGCGTCCTCCAATGGCAAGTTTTAATTGAAAACTACCCAAGAACAGTACATCATTTGATTTACAGATACATTCCTTCCTCTTGCAATCTTATTTAAAAGAAACCTGTAAACTTAAACGCAGCTAATATTTGTACTACCTGTCTTATTGATCCACTCATTTACCATAATTCTTCCACCAAAGGGTTAGACTTGCAATGTATCTTGCACCACATGACGTAATTTTATGGCACACACCAGCATTAGCAACGTAACTTGAGGCCAAATTGTAAAGTCTTTCAGCATCAAAGGGGTCAAAATGGCCTGGCAGCACTTTTACCACAAGATTGTTGTCCACTAGAGTCATTAGACGTTTGCAACTTTGAATGTAGTCACTAATATCGCTGGAAGGGAGCCAGTCAATCAGAGTTCCATTGTATACTACATCTCCACTAAAAAGAATGCGGTTCTCCTGGTCATGAAGGCAGATGCTACCTCTGGAGTGACCAGGCATGTGTAGAACAGTGAGCTGACGGTTTCCAAGATTAATAATGTCACCTAACATGAAAAGCATAAAAGTCTCAAATCTCTCTTGGAATCCGTGCTAATTACATTTAATATTCAATGTAAATATTTGAACTAATGTTAACATAGCAAGGGTAGTTGAAATCTCCAATAATAAAGGTGCTTGTATTTTGCTGAATTTACACAATTTGGTGTAACAAATGTTATTACAGTTGAAAACAGAATGAGTTTGGTTCACTCCTTATAAATTTTGACTCAACGCATTACTGTAAAATGCACTGTAATGAACAGTCAGCCAATTTTACATCTATGCATTAGGTGGTTACAATCCTAAAATAGACAGCAGCTTGCCAATCACCTAAATTAAACTGTTGCACTACTTTTAATCATAGAATCATAGCGCAAGAGCTTTGACACATTGTATCTACATAGCTCGTGGAACAGCTATTCAATTCATTCCACTTCCCTGATCTTTCCCTATAGGAAAGTACTTACTTTCATCTTAAAATATCCATCCAATCCTTTTTGATATTTCTACTTGAATTTGTTTCTACTATCCTTTTAGATTGCTCACTTGAAATGAAAACAACTCATTTCATAAAATAAATTCTCATCTCAATTCTAATTATTTTTCCAAATATATTAATTTGTTGTCCTCTGGCTGTCAGTCCTTCTGCCAATAGCATCAGTTATTCCATGAAACCATTCATGATTTTTTTTAGTATCTCATCAAATATCTCCTAAATCATCATCTCTCCAAGGAGGCTGGCACAATTTGTGTAGTCTTTCCTTGTAACCAAACTTCCATGAACCCAGAACCATCCTATTAAGTCTCCTCTGCACCCTCTTTCAGGTCATGGCACTTGTGACATGTTCAGCACAACATCATGGGCCAAAAGGTCCCGTTCTTGTGCTGTACTATTCTATTGTTCTTGAAATGTGGGACCAAGCTGACATTTATAAAGGTTTACCATTGTTGCTTTGCTTTTTGCTCTATGGCCCTGTTTATAAAGTCAAGGCTCATGTTTGCTTTTGCAACATCTTGTCAGGTATGAATCAGAGAGGGAATTCAAATGGAAGAAAACAAAACTAAAAACAAGTATTTTAAAATTCAGGAAAAGAAGAACAGGAAACTGATGAAGGAGAACAGAATACAAATGCAAACTAGCAAGAACATAAAAAGGAGAGCTACAGAAACTTAGTCATTGATATGTTCAAGATTGATGAGTTACTAGATATTAATGACATCAAGAAGTAGAGCGATACTGCAGCAAAATGGCATTGAGGTAAATAATCAACCCAGATCTAGAATGGCAGAACAGGCTTGAAGGCTGAAAGGCCTACTCCTACTCCAATGTTTATAGACAGCTTCTCAATTTATCCTGTTACAAATATACATGTACATCAACCCATAGACCTCACTGTTCTTATACCCACTTTAAAATTACACCATTTATGTCACATTACCTCTTGATTCTTCCTACCAAAACAGGCTGAAATGACTCGGCACAAACAGCAAATCTTTCTTTACCATTTATGTCCCTTCCAAAGAAACCTTATCTTAGGGCATGCAAATACATGGATTTGGATATGTCTAAAGCACAAACTATATATCTTATTGGAATGAGATGATATCCTTGAGGAGACAACGACAGAATCTACCTGGTTTGAGTAAAGAAGCTAAAAAGGCTATGATTATGCTACTGGGGATAGTCTATAGATCTCCAAATATTGAGATACTTAGATACAAATGCAAATCTGTTTGGAAATTACAGATATGCACAAGGACTAAATTGTGATGCTTTTGGGGGACTATAACAAAATATCAATTGGGATAAACATCGGAGTAGAAGGATAAGGAAAGGGAGGAGTTTCTGAATGTATTTAAGACAGCATCCTTGACCAATATTTTATTGGTCCAACTAGGAAGGAGACTGGTTAGATGTGTTGCTGGGGAATGAGTAGACCAGGTTTTCATGTGAGAACACGTAGGTAAGAATGACATTGGATCAGATATTTAGATTAGCAAAAGAGGAAAGCACGGTACAGAATTAGAATTTATAAACTGAAAGAAATGCTAATTTTAATGACATGAGAGACAAGGTAAAACTGAACAATGATCAACGGTGCGCTCAATTAGGGACAAAAAAGATGATATTATGTTTAGAGTCCAGGGCATGGATACAGCATTTAATGAATACTTTGTATCAGCGTTTACTCAGAAAAAGCTGAGAAAATGTGTTTACAAATAAAGATGGCGGAAAGTGACTGAGCGAAATGGGTGGGGTGAAATTGATAGGGAGCACGCACTAGAAAGACTTGCTCTGCTTAGAATGGATACATTGCCTCATCTGGATAGCTTGCACACCAGACTACTATAAACAGTGATGACAGATGAGATTGCCTTAAATTTCCAATCTTCACTTGGTACCAGCAGATGTGCCAGAGGATTGGACAGTGACAGTCGTACTATGTTTTCTCAAGAATGGCACATAGCGCATTTATATTATCTACCATCTGGTCATTATAATGGTGGGGAGGGTTTTAGAAACAATCAGGAAAAATAGGATCAACTGGTATGTGGGTTTAGGTTAAGTAAGGAGAACCTACATGGATTTGCAAAAGAAGATCGTTCCTGATTAACCTTGTTTGTTTGTTTGATATCTGATGGAGAAGATTGATGGGAAAGTGTACATCCAGACATAGTTTTCGAAAATGTTTGACAAAACAACACAAAGAGACATGTTAACGTAATTAAAGCCCATAGAATTAAGATCACTGTCAGCTTGGATTAAAAAAAAAATTGTTGTAAGGACAGAAAGCAGTGAGTTGTAGCAAATGGTCACTTCTCAGCCTGCAGTGTGGTAGCCCATCACATTTTCCCAAGGCTCAGTATTAATAACATTGCTTGCTTGATAAAATGAAGTCCTCCTCACTAAGCCTGGAGAACTGTACCAACATAGAACTGTCAGCATAGGCCATCCAAGCAGCTTCCTGGCATAGTCGTGCCGACCAATCAAACTTTACAGCCAATATCTCAAATACCTTTTCCTTCATCCGTGGGTATGTCCTGTCCATTACGGCAGGAAAGACCACCAGAAAAGGGTGGAACAGTGAAATACTGTCAAGGAGGAGTGGCCCCGCGTATTCTCAACAATCACGCATGAATTTTACTGAATCAAGTCAAACACTGGCAAAGGATTACCTACAAATTATCATCTTCTTGTGTACATTTCTTCCTCAGTGATAAAACTACATTCCTCAATGTTGAGCACTACCAAAGTAACGAGGAACAAAATGTAATGTAATCTGGGTGGAAGGCTTCAACGTCCATCATCAAAAGTAGCTCACTAACAACAGTACTGGCCAACGTGGCTCAGTCTAGAAGGATATATCATGAGAGAATGAACAAGAGGGAAATATTGACTTGCTCTTGTCTGCACCAATCTATCTTTTGCAGATGTGTCTATCCAATGCAGTACTGGTTGTAATGGCCACCTAACAGTACCCTTGGAAATTAAATCAAGTCTGCAAACGAAGGACACAACATGTTCTGTGCACTACCAAATTTTAAATGGGTAGACTCTGAAAAGAACTAATAATTCAAAACTTGGCATCTGTGAGGGTCATTATCTGCAGAACAGTTGTGTTCAATCAAAATCTATAACCACATTTCCTGGTATTTTTCTCACAACCTTTAACATTAAGCCAGAACAACATGCAAGGAGTGGCACCAAACAACAAGTACACATATATGTGAACTGCAACAGTACACAACAGAAATTGCTAAGCAACATTCACAATCAGCAAATCAGATCTAAGCTTTGCAGTCTAACACATCCACTGCTGAAAGGTGACTGAGTGTGACATTAAACAGTCTTAGCAATTTTGAAATCAGTGAGAATTGGGGATGGAGGTGAATTCTCCACTAGAGATATTGATAGCTTAAGTAAATGGACAAGAAGTTGGTAAATGGAGTATAATGTGGGAAAATGCAAAGTTGTTCATTTTGAAGGGGAGAACAAAAGAGCAGAATATTATTTAAATGTCGAAAGACTGCATAAAGCTGCAACACAAAGGGACTTGGGGTACTTGTGCATGAAACACAGAAAGCTAGCACACAGGTAATCAGGAAGGCTATTAGTTACACGGTGCTGGTGAGATGAAATCTGGAGGTCTGTGAGCAATTTTGGTCCCCTCATTTAATGGAAGAGTTCATTTCTTTGGAGGCAGTTCAGACAAGGCTCACTAGGATGATCCCTGGTTGAAGGGATTGTCTTATGAGCAAAGGCCAAACAGGATGGGACTCTACTCACTGGCGTTTAAGGAGAATGAGGGGTGAACTCAATGAAAATATAGGATTCTTATGCGGCTCGACTTGGTCGATGTTGAGAGGATGTTTCCCCTCATGGAAGAGTCTAGGATTGGGGGCATAACCTCAGAATAAAGGTAAATAGGTTTTTGATTAGTGAGGGGATCAAGGATTATGGAGAGAAGGCAGGAGAATGATGTGTTTCTCAACCCAGATACAAAAACAGAAATCGCTGGCAAAACTCAGAAGATCTGGCTGCATCTGTGAAGAGAAAGCAGAGTTATCAGGCAATTGCCATCTCCATAAGATAGGGGCAGAATTAGGTCATTCTGCCCATCGAGCATGCTCTGTCATTCAATCAGAGTTGATATGTTTCTCAAACCCATTCTCCTGCTTTCTCCCCAGAACCCTTGATTTCCTTACTAGTAAAGAACATGTTTATCTTGGTCTTAAATACACTCCATGACTTGGCGTCCATAACCCTCTGCAGCAATGAGTGCCACAGATTAGCCATCCACTGGCTTAAGAAATTCCTACTCTTCTTAGTTCTAAAGGATTGTCCCTTCACTCTGAGGCTGTGCCATCAGGTCCTAGTCTCTCCTATAGGTGAAAACATCTTCTCCACGTCCACTCCATCCAGGCCTCTCAATATTCTATAAGTTTCAATGAGATCTTCCCTCATTCTTCAAAACTCCATCAAGTATTGATCTAGAGTTCTCAACCACTCCTCACGTAACAAGCCCTTCATCCCTGAGGTCATTTTTGTGAACCTCCTTTGGAACCCCTTCAACGCCAGCATATTCTTCCTTAGTTACAGGGCCCAAAACCATTCACAGTATTCCAAATGCCGTCTGCCAAGAATCTTATACAGCCTCAGCAATACGTCTCTGCTCTTGTATTCTAGCCCACTTGAAACGAATGCTGGCATTGCAACCGACAGTTGAACCTGCACGTTAACCTTTGTGCTTCAGACTTCCAAAGCATTTCCCCATTTGGAAAAATACTCTATGTCTTTATCCTTCCGACGAACGTGCATAATCACACACCTTCCTATATTGTAATCCATCTGCCACTTCTGTGCCCATTCTCCTAGCCTGTCCAAGTCGTCTGCATCCTCCCTGATTATTCCGCACTACCTGTCCCTCCATTTATCATGTGCCATCTGCAAACTTAGTAACACTGTCCTCAGTTTGTTCATCCAGATCGTTAATGTACAACATGAATCGTGGTCCAAATACTAAACCCTGCAAACACCACCGGTCACCAGTTGCCACCCTGAAAAAGACCCCTTTATCCCTACTCTCTGCCTTCTGCCAGTCAGCTAATCCTCTATTCATGCCAGTACCTTGTCCCTAACACCACGGGCTCTTAACTTATTTAGCAATTTCCTGAGCGGCACCTTGTCTACATCTAGAGAATTTGATGTACAGTGGCATTATTATTTTGGGAGATGGTGATGTAATAGGAATATCATTGCAATAATGATCCTGAGGCCCATGCTATTGTTCTGAACACTAATTTAAATTCCATCAAGACAGATGGCGGAATATAAATTCACCTAATAAATCTGGAGTATGAAACTAGTCTCAGCAATGGTGACTATGACAACTACCATAAATTGCCATAAAAATCCATTTGGTTCACAAATGTACATTAAGGAAGGAAATCTGCTTGTCTTACCCAGCTTTTTCGTTGACTCTTAACTGTCCTGGCCTAAAAAGCCATTTAGACCACGCGCAATTAGAGATGAGAAACAAATGCTCATCTTGGCAGCGACTCACTAAACCATTAAATAACTTTTTAAAAATTCCCACTGTCAACATCCTCGGGGCTTAAACTTAACTGGGCCAGCCATATAAATATTCTAGTTATAAAAGCAAGTTACAGGCTAGGGAATCTGCTGCACGTCTCACCTCCTGCCTTCCCCACCTAAATTAAATGAATCATAGAACATAGAACAGTACAGCACAGTACAGGCCCTTCGGCCCACAATGTTGTGCCGAACTTTTACCCTAAACCTAAGGTCTATCTAATCTCCATCCCTCCTTATACTATCATCCATATGCCTGTCTAATAACCGCTTAAATGCCCCTAATGAGGCAGACTCCACTACCCTCTCCAGCAATGCATTCCACACCCCTGCCACTCTCTGAGTAAAGAACCTACCTCTGACGTCTCCCCTATATCTACCTCCACTCACTCTAAAACTATGCCCCCTCGTAATAGCTACCTCCACCTGAGGAAATAGTCTCTGGCTGTCCACTGTATCTATACATCTGATCATTTTGTACACCTCTATCAAGTCAGCTCTCATCCTTCATCGTTCCAAAGAGAAAAGCCCGAGCTCTCTCAACCTTTCCTCGTAAGGCCTTCCCTCCATTCCAGGCAACATCCTGGTACATCTCCTCTGCACCTTTTCCACATCTTTCCTGTAATGAGGTGACCAGCACTGGACACAATACTCCAGATGTGGCCGAACCAGGCTTTTGTATAGCTGGAGCGTAATTTCACAGCTCTTGAATTCAATCCCTCTATTAATGAAAGCTAACACACCATACGCCTTCTTAACAACTCTATCCACCTGGGTGGCCACTTTCAGGGAACTGTGGGCATGAACCCCAATCAAGAGTGTAATCCAGTATTTCTCATTTGTCTAGAACAGTGCGGCTCGAACAACACTAAAGAAGCTCCTCCACCTGAGAGTTTCTTTCAAAATCACACACCATCCTGAATTGGATACTTTATCGATACTCCTTTCCTCATTTGTCAAATTGATGGAACTCATTTCCAAGTAGCACTACTGCAATACATGCAACATACAAATTGCAGCATTACAAGACAGCAACATATCATCACCTTCTCCAGAGCAAATAAGGATGGGCAATAAATGCTAGCCTTACCAATAATGTGCTGACCCTATGAATAAAACAAGTGCGGATGAGAAATAGGAGGGAGCCTACTGAGGCTTCCACAGTAACGGTAATTGGGAAGACAAATTATCACAAGCTACTTTGGCTGTGACAGAACAAATAGAAATAGAACCAAGGAAGAACTGACCCAACCAATTGAGGCACTGGCACTGGAGCACTCAAAGCAGTGACAGACTGTATCTGAGAATGCAGCCCCATACATATCAGCTAACGTAAGTACTAGAAAGAGAAGTTGAGTCGTTTATAGCTTGGTTGAAATAGTGATGGCATTGATAGTACTCCACTAGCACCAATAACATTCCTAAGTCATCATTCACGTGTGAGCATTGATAAAATGAGCATCACTGTTTATCACAGACATCTGAATCAAATCCTTTCAGCATCAACCAACAGAGTGACAGAGCAACAATTATAGGCAAACTTCTTTGAGAACCAATTACACCATGGAGACTACGGTAAATTGTGTTCTGAAACCCCCCACTCAGAATTGAGGATAACATCTATAGTCTTCCTGGCGTAGATTAGGGTTGAGCAGGAGAAAGACGGATTATTAATACTGCTACATGGAGCAGCAGCAAGGCAAGGAAACCTGGCTTTGATTCCTTCGTTATTAAACTTCCCGAATAAATGCAAGGCCTGCCCTGTTACTGGGATCAGTAATGAGTACACACCATCGTCTAGTATCCGGTCAGGGGCCACAGACTGAACCCTATAATTTTTGGCTCTCCAGCCCCGGTGAGGGGGCCTTTTAACCTCCCAGTCATACAGCCAGGTCGCTGTTTCGAAGTTGTCTCCCCGCATCAAGGCGCTCGCCTCCGCTCTGTGCACTGCCACTCTGTCGAAGTGGTGCAGACCTCCCGAGTGGTCGAAGTGGATGTTAGTGACCACAGCCAGAACCGGCTTGGTGCCTATGAGGCCGACGGACATGAGGTAGTTGGGCAGATTCCTCAGGCCCAGGCCTGTGTCTATCACCAGGTCCCGTTGAGAGCCCTGTAGCAGCCAAATGTTAGCCCGCTTCCCTGCCTCGAAGAAGCGCTCACGGATGAGGTATAATCCGTTGGACACCTCCTCCCACCAGAACCAGTCCGAGTAGGAACCCGTCCCTGGAGACTCAGTTGGCACCGACATCCTCAACGAACAACAACAACCACCACCACACCGGAGTGACAGTGGCCTCAACCAATCCACACACGGTCTCCTACACCAGCCAATCACCGCAGGGAGGAGGCGGGCTCTTCCCCATCCCTCGCCCACTGCAGCACGTGTCTCACACCAGGCGGACTCTCGGCTTAGCAGGGAATGGTGTGTAGTCTGCACAGCTCCTTGTGAAAGTGCTCTGCCTGGGCAGCAGTGTCCCCAATTTGACACTGAGCCAATCAAGAGCTTGATGCGAGAATTAGGTTTCAAGGAGTACCTTAAAAGAGAGAGATGCAGAGGTTCTGGAGATTGAATAGGGCAGAATCTTATAGATTTTTTTCCCCAATGTGGCCCTATTTTAATATTCGAAAATTAACATTACCCCCCAGTTGCCAACAAAAGCAAAACAGGAATAAAGCAGTACATTCAGTGCATGGTTATTAATGTTCGTGCATTATGGGACAAAAACAGAAATTGCTGGAGAAACTCAGTAGGTCTGGCAGCATCTGTGCAGAGAAAGAAGTGTTAATGCTTTGAATCCAGTGACCTTTCTTCTTGCTGCCAGATCTGCTGAGTTTCTGTAGAAATTTCTGTTTTTGTTCCAGCTTCCCAGCATTCACAGCTCTTTGCTTTGTGCAGTATATAACATCATGGGGGGTCAGTTGATGGTACAGCTGGTTTCTGACATAGGATAACAACAAAGCATGGGTTCAACACATGTACCAGCTGAGGTCATCATGAAGACTTTACCATGCTCCTTGCCTTAGGTTTGGAGACCTTCAGTTTAAACTCATCAACTGTCTCTTTCTAATGAGAGCAGCTTATCGTCACATGTGACTATAATTACTTTCAATGCATCATAAGTATGAAAGTCTGGGTTTCTTAAGCATTTTGTAAAAATGTTATCTTATGTTCTGATCAGTCCATTACTTATCTGAGAAGCATTACTTAAATGACACATTCCCATTCATGGACCTTGGCCAGGAAGCAATAGACATTATTGATATTTGCATTTGCATTCAGCATTGCTGATGCGTTGCATCATTCATTACAACAAGGTTCCCTAAAGTCCATATTGACATAATTGATTTTAGTATAAGATGAGTCATATTTGGAGGATTTCCATTACCTCCCCCTCCCCTAAAGTACACATACACTGTCACAATCCCCTCTCTTACCCCCACAAAGATTTTAATCAGTTTGGAGTACACAGTAAGCTGTTATATTGTTATATTGTTGTCTCGGATTCTCCAGCATCTGCAGTTCCTACTATCTCTGATTCACTTTGTTATATTGCCCTGTTTGCTGCCCCCTCTGTTGGGGAGGTGTACATAGTACAATAATGATTGCCTGCAATGAAGCTTGTGTTAGCTTTATGTATGGTCATACAACAATAAAAAGATGGCAACAGATAGGGATGAAATTTTCTTGTACATTTCATTAAGAAATCAAGAAGTGAAGAACATTTTCACATGCTATTGGAGCTTTTAATTTTGGTTTTGAAGATGTTTCATTGATTTGAAAGATTGTTCTTTGTGTACACATCATATTCAGGTAAACAGTCGATTGGTACAGTACATACTTAAACAAATAGCACGAAAGGCATATTTGGGGACAGTCAGGAATTCAAACCTAACAAAGAGGACAGGTATAATTACAAACAAAGGTTACATATTTAGCTGGAAGCAAACGAAATAGGAGGTAAGGATAAAATAAATGTTTTCCTTGAAGCTGGGGCAGTGCTTTTAACGTAGCGTCCAATGTGAGATCCACTACTATTGAACATGCAGAAATTAATGAGATTCTGGATCCATATTATGGCAGGATTAAAAATGAAATTGCACTGAGGATTATGTTCCATTAAAGTAAACAGCTGCCAAGTAATACTATCTCAGATTACATTCTCAAGTTAAAGAAACTCTCTCACCACTGTGGGTACACTACTATTGGTATACAATTCAATCTCCATGAAAGGTAGCCCAGAGCTTGAGATTGCAAGGAAGATATTTTCCTGAAGCAGCAGGGGTGTACCGCTTGACTTCAATGAGATTCAGGCCATTGCAGCAAGGTAACATTGACAGTCGGAAATGTTGATGCTACTGTTGTCCTGCCACCAACCATTGAAATGTCCTAATTTCCAGTCAAAGTGGAGTGCCTGTAGGAAAGTCCATTTTATCCAGATGGCATGCAAGACCAGAGGAAACGTTAATGGTCCATATTATTGTAAAGCTCCACATCACCATGTCGTACCGGATTGATGCTTGATGTAATAATAGATCTTAGAGCTAGTTCAGGACTCTGAAAGTCCTCCAATGAGCATTGATTGATATGGAAACAGAATTAAATCTTACTGTTTTTGGCTAAGTGCGAGTTCCATTGAGGTTTTTGGAGGGTTTCTTGCCTTGAAGTACAATCAGCTTTCTCACTGACATAGAATCCCTGACAGACAGCAGCTTGCCCTTTTTGATTGGATTGAGGAGCAGTCCTAGTCATTTTTCATTATGGCTATTTGGTTGAATAAACTTGCAGTGTGTTTGCCACTCAAGCAGCTGGTACATGTTGTAGGTATTAGATTGATGTTTCAATGTGCTGTTCATAAAGACAATCCTTCCCAGACAGATCCCTCATGTCAAGCATGATAAGTAGCCTGTCCGTGTGACAGTGCAAAGGTGCACATCATTACAGCACTGCTGATGGCCTTTGGCTCTGGTTGAAATTTCAATACACTAACAGATGTGGTATAGCAAGGATGCATGAAGATTCTTGGGAAACAAGTACTAAGAGAGCAAAGGAACAGCCCTGAGATGCAGCCTGGCCCAAATCCATGAGTTGGATGCCTGTCCATGTTTACAAACAGTCCTTGTAGCAACCTTTCAATACTTGTTGCCGGTGCACCTGACTATGCAAGTCTGTGCTTCCTAAGTGGCCTGCAAGTGAATTGGAGCAGTGCCATGATGTTCACAGAGGTTTGGCAAATGACGGATACCAACGTCCATGGATGATTGTGTGTATGGCTAGAGGCCATGGATTCTGCCTTGAGATGCTGTTTGGTGCTGAGTAACATGGGAAGCTTCAATTGTAAGGAAGCTTAGTCAGACTGCACCTGGAGTATTTTATGCAGTTTTGATCTCCTTACTTCAGAAAGAATATTATTGACATGAAATATAATGAAGGTTCACCAGTTTTGTTTCTGAATTGGCAAAACTGTCCTATAAAGAAAGTTTCTTTATCATTCCAGGGATGTGGACATCTCTGGCTGGGTCAGCATTTATTGCCCATCCCTAATTGCCCTCAAGAAGATGGTGGTGACCTGCCTTCTTGAGTTGCTGCAGTCCATTTGGTGTAGGTACATCCATAATGCTGTTAAGGAGGGGTTCCAGGATTTTGACCCAATGTCACTAAAGTAATAAATATTGAGCAAATTGGGCCTGTATTTCCTCGAGTTTTAAGGGATATAATTGCAACCTATAAACTATTTAAAGAGAATATAGATTGATGCAGGTTTGTAACATCAATAGCCACTGGTGAGGTGCCAAAAGACTGGAGGTTGGTTAACGCGATGCCACTATTTAAGATCGGTGGTAAGGAAAAGCCGGGGAATTATAGACCGGTGAGCCTGACATCAGTGGTGGGCAAGTTATTGGAGGGGATCCAGACGGACACGATTTACAAGGATTTGGAAAGGCAAGGACTGATTAGGGATAGTCAATGTGGCTTTGTTCATGGGAAATCATGTCTCACTAACTTGGTTGAGTTTTTTGAATAAGTACCAAAGAGGACTGATGAAGGCAGAGCAGTGGACATGATCTATTTGGACTTCAGCAAGGCGTTCGACAAGGTTCCACATGGTAGGCTGCTTAGAAAGGTTAGATCACACAGATGACAGAACTGTCTCGAAGGTAGGAGACAAAGGGTAGTGGTGGAGGGTAGCTTTTCAGACTTGAGGCCTGTGACCAGCGGTGTGCCACAAGGATCGGTGCTGGATCCACTGCTTTTTGTCATTTATATAAATGATTTGGTTGTGAATATAGGAGGTATGGTTAACAAGTTTGCAGATGACACCAAAATTGCTAGTGTCATGGACAGTGAAGAAGGTTACCTCAGAGTACAACGAGGCCTTAATCAGATGGACTGGTGGGCCAAGGAGGAGCAGATGGAGTTTAATTTAGATTAATGTGAGATGCTGCATTTTTGAAAAGCAAATCAGGGCAGGACTTACACACTTAATGATAGGGTCCTGGGGAGTGTTGCTGAACAAAGAGACTTTGGAGTACAGGTTCATTGTTCTTTGAAAGTGGAATCACAGGTAGACAGGATACTGAAGAAGGCGTTTGGTATGGTTGTTTTTATTAGTCAGTGCATTGAGTACAGGAATTGGGAGGTCATTTTGTGTCTGAACAGGACATTGGTTAGGCCACTTTTGGAATACTGTGTGAAATTCTGGTGACCCTGCTATAGGAAGGATGTTGTGAAACTTGAAAGTGTTCAGGAAAGATTTACAAGGACATTGCCAGGGTAGAAGGGCTTGAGCTACAGGGAGAGGCTGAATAGGCTGGGGCTATTTTCCCTGGAGCATAGGAGACTGGAGGATGACCTTATAGAAGACTATAAAACCATGATGGGCATGGATAGCGTCTTCTCCCCGAGGTGGGGGAGTCTAAAACTAGAGGGCATAGGTTTAAGGTAAGAGGGGAAAGATTTAAAAGGGACCTAAGGGGCAAAGTTTTCACGCAGAGGGTGGTGTGTGTATGAAATGAGCTGCCAGAGGAAGTGGTGGAGGCTGGTACAGTTACATTTAAAAGGCATCTGAATGGGTATATGAATAGGAAGGGTTTAGAAGGATATGGGCCAAATGCTGGCAAATGGGGCTAGATTAATTTAGGATATCTGGTCGGCATGGACAAGTTGGACCGAAGGGTCTATTTTCCTGCTGTACAGCTCTATGACTCTAAGATGTCTCCCCTGTTGTGGAGTCTAGAACCAGGGGGGCTGAATTTCAACTTAAGGGGAGAAGTTACATGGAACTAAGATGAGGGTGTTTTTTTGTACTCAGTGTGTTGTCAGTTGGAGTTTACACCACAGGAAGGTTGTGGAA